CTTTTGCGGCCACTGGGAGTCGGATTGATCCTAGAGTCATAACCGTTTCGCCAGAGAAACTGGTAACCGGCTTTGGAATCAATTCGATCTCAGTTAGTGCAATTCCCATTCGCGTCAAAGTGTCGCGGAAGATCACATTGACGATGCTTCCGGTATCAACGAGTATTCGAGCGACCTCCAAATCACTTATGACTAGGAGAATGACAAGAGGGTCAGCAAAGTTTCGGCTTCCTCGAAGGCGATTACTCCTCTCCGAGTATCATTTGACGGTGTTGGCCAGTTCGAGTCTGTCTCGGCCTTTCGTCGATAGGACTTGATGGACAAGATGGTGTCACAGTAGTATTGCGATTCGCTGATGATCATGTATACCTTTCGGCGGTTAGCATCGTTCCCTTTCTCGTCTTGTCTTTGTCCGCGTTTCTCGCCCGTTTGGTTCCCTTGAGGCGAATTATCTGCCTGCGAGTTTCTATCAATTTTCGAGGGGGGGGGGCGGTCTGAATCGCGGATGAGGTCCTTCCCGCTGGATACTTCTGAGAGTTCTCCTGCGAGCATTTTTGCGGCCAGCCTCGCACCGAGAACTTTACAGTTTATGGTTGAATGGCCGCAAGTATGGTGGAAATCGCAGAAGGTGTTCTCGTCGTAACTCGAGTTCCTGGTCCATGTGTTCCCCGTAGTTCGCCCTTGCTCCGATCCAGAGTTGATGGCGTAGTTATGTGCCCCCTGAAGATCTTGTCCCTCGTGATGGACATACTTGTCGTTACGAGGGTTTTTGTTTTTCGGCTTTTGCTCAGACGCGACATCTTTTACAGACGTCTTCGTCGGTTTATGCTGCTCTGTCAGGATCTTAGTCTCCTCTTCGATGACAATGAATCTGTAGCTTTGTGGAGCGCGTCCTGGATCATACGCGGCTTCTCGAGGATTATTCACTTTCTAAACTTTGACTTTAACCAGAGCGACTTTCTCAGTGTGTCGATAGCTGCTCTGTCACTTATTCCGCTAACCCTAGCCATGATAAGTGTGAATTTACTCATGAAGTCGCGGAGAGGCTCGTCCTCCTTCTAGGATAGACTCTAGAGGTCAGCGTCGGAAGTTTCTCGGTTTATGAACATCGAGTACTGCTTTATAAATTCCGAGGCAAGCTGGCGGAAACTCCCGATCGAAGTCCGCTTAAGTCGAGAGAACCATTCGAGCGCTGCTCCTTCTAGGTTTTCAACGAAGAGACGGCAGTAACCTGCGTTGTTCTCGCTTTCCTTGAGCTTGGCTTGACCAATAGTGATCTTGAAGGCCTGCAACTGCGCTTTGGGATCGGTCGTCCCATCGTAAGTCAGCACTTTGAGCTTTCTGGGATCGGGCAGCTTAATCTCGGTGATACGAGCCGTGAAAGGCTTTTTCCAAGATTCGTACAGCAGTCGATCGATTTCAGGCGCGGCACTAGTGGCATGGTGAATTCGAGACTTCACTGATTTTACCGCTGCAGGCGTTTTAGTGATATAATAGCGGAGATCGCGAATCTCAATTGGGTTGCCAGCAGTTTTCCAACCCGTCGGCGTTTGCTGCGAGTAACCTGAGATCGTTCCTCGGCCGTTTTTGCATGCTCCATGCAATAGAGCTCCTCCTCTTCCTCGGTGGGAGAGTGTTCGGGAGAAGAATCGGGCTAAGGACTGTGATCTTTCCTCCTTCTTGGATGAACGTCAGCGTCTTCCTCCGAAGGATCGGACTGGTCACTTGTTTCCAGGTTCACCTTTCCGACACCGTCGTCCTCGATCTCCTGTTCGCGAGAAGGAGATTTTTTCGAGTCCTTTTCTGTCGCGTCAGGGTTATCTTTTTCAGAGGTTTGCCTCGGTTGATTACCCTGCTTGGTTCTGGGACGATCCATAGGAGTCGCGAAACTGAGTCTTCTTCCGCGGATTCTTGTGGCTCCTCGGGGGTGGATAGCTTTGGTCTTCGCGGTTAGGGTTTCAACCTATTTCGCGAGAGATACGATTAGCTTATCCTGCTCGTACGTCCTTTTCCGATAGGCGGAGAGTACCTCCTGCAGCAACGTGGTGTTAGCCGCAGTGTTAACCGTGGTCGCGTCTGGGGTTAGAGTGTCAAAGTTTTCGTTTTCACGAGTTGGTTGTTCTTCTAGCGCCAAACTGTGGGAACCGGAATTTACACCGTCGATTTCCGTGAATAAAGGAACTTAGGGAAAACTCTAATTTCCCAGAGGTCCCGGCTATCTGCTTCGAACGTTCGGTTTCGAACGTTTCTCGACCCGAGATCTTTTCGGAGAATTTAAAGAGAAATAATCGTAGTCGTTGATCTCGAGGTTATTTTTTATTATCTTAATAACGGCTTTGCCGTTTCTAGGAGTTTAGACGTTACGGCCATGTTTTGCTAATTTGGCCATTTGGACAATCGCAGATTTTTTTTATTCGGTTTTCCATTGATTTTTAAGATGACGATTGTCAAGTTTACGGAATTCCTTTATTTGGGAAATCTTTAGATTTCTTCTCAAAGCTTTTTCGTATTTTTTAAAACCTACTCTTAACTTTGCAGAAAGTTTTTGGTCGTTGATCCTGTCGTAACCGATTTTGACCCCAACAAATACCATCACGATATATTAAGGCAAAGGATACTATATACTTACACACAGATAATTTGAGACTTTTAGGGGTTGAAAACATGATATCTTGTTTCCGCGTATTTTTTAATAAAGTTAAATAATTAAAACAAAAAGATATAAAGCATATGGTCAATCACAACTAATCATTTCTCTGCCACAACTAAAATGATTAATCTTACTTCTGCCGTAACCCATACTTGAGGAAGTTACATACGGAGTTTTTGACAGCTTCCCAAATCTGGAAGAAGATAAATGCGGCATTCTAACCATATGTGAGTCAAAGCAACCACTTCGAGGTGTGTTACTGACATCCTTCAATATCCTGTCAAAAATTAAGTTTAAAGGTATAGACTGATAACCTTTTGATCTTTTGAACATTTTGTTAGGAGTTTTATCATTATCATGAACGTGATTAATCTTCTTTAGTGGGCGAAGAGCTGTCTTGTATGATGTAAAGACCTCGTTATTGGTAGAAAGATAAAACACTTGAGCTGTAATTTTTTGTTTAAAATGATGCAGGTTAGGGTTTATAATAATAAATATACATTCATATCTGGGACCAAAATTACCTGATGAAGTAGTCGTCCTATTATCAGAAATTGTTGCTGGCTGCGTCTGATTTTTTTACTGATTTGTGAATCATTTACTCCCTCACCAAACCTGATTGTTTGGTCTGTTGGTTTAGATCTAAGTATAGACTTAATTCCTGAGGCCTATAGCTGTTAAGAAATCAAAGTAAGTAATACGTTTTGATGTTTGAAGACAGAAATTTGCTATATATATAGTCTGGTTGTTTAGTCACAACCATCATCTAAATGAAGTCTGCTCTTCTTAGATGGAGAAATTTGTCGTCCGAGTGCATTTTCTGAAATATATAAAATTAAAAATATTAATACATATTATTTGATCTTGCATGTTACAGATACATGATTAGAGTGACATATACATGTACATCATCACTTGAATAGAGAGAAATTGTACGCAAGTAAAATTATCCTTCACATGAGGTATGTTTGTGACATCTTGTAACACTACTGATAAACTGCTTTTGTGTTTTTGATTTCGTGGTTGAGAAATATCGTTCTCATCATTATTTGATATACGTTTAACTTTTTGTGAGTTTTGCCCATAGGAAGAGTTTGTGTCGTGTTTCTTAGGATTAAAATCCATGGATGATTGATCTTATTAAAACATTGTCCCGCAATACCCTTATATATCCAATTTTCTCAGTGTTTATAGATTTAGTATGTAAGAAATTATAACTGTTTTACATAAAAATCTTAACAATAAATATTTTTCTATCAACTCATAATGTTTATGAAACAATATATTATGTTTACTTATTATATGAAAAGCAATAAGAAAATTAATATATAGATCGCAATCTAGAAATAGAAAGTAGAAAGTAGAAATTGAAATTTTTTATTTTAGTGTTGAAATATATATTTATCTTTTAAACACGATAATATTTTATGGAAATAAATATAGATTGTACCCTCCTGTTTGGAATGAAATAATATATTATGATTACTTATTACATGGAATATGGAATGCGGTTTTAAATAGATATATTGATATATATATATATATATATGGATTTAAAAATTCAATAAAGTAAATACTTCAAATTGTTATTTTAGAACTTGTAAATAATATTACAATGTTTATTAGCATAATTTAAATTGTTATTGAATTAGAATGTGTTCAAAATTTATATAAATAAACCACCAAAAAGAATAATTTTTATTTTATTTGAAATAAAATGGAAGAAATAAATTCAAAACAAAGGTCTCAAATACCCTAAAGCATTAAAATTTGTGTTTGTAAACACTTATTAGAAAGTAAAATATAAAGCATTTAAAGCACGAGTTGAACTACAAAACACAGATTTATTCCTCTGTTAAGCTTAGCTCCTCTATGCTCATCTTCTCAACCTTTATACTCTTGATAGGACGAAGTTTTGAGGTCGAAGTGGTATCTGGAACGTGATCAATGTCATCAACAGATCGTTAGAAGGAGTTGACATTTTGCTAGAGCTTTCATCATTGTAAGTGAGTAGGGAAACCTATAATTTTGAAGTTATATATGTATTGTCATTAGTCAGTTTGTTACGATTTTGGATATTAAATCTCATTTTCAAAATATCATACATAAGAGATCACACATAAGAGATAAATATAGATTTTCACAAGATGAGACTAACATTTCGATATCAATATTGTTTCCATAATACAAGGAACATATATTGCACAACAATATATATGACATAGATTCACATAATATGCTAGATTTTGAAATATTTAAAGCTTTTCTATTTAATATTGGTAATGTGCAAAAATAAAAACTCAATAATGGCAAATACCTTTAATTTCGACAAAAAAATATAGGTCATTAAATGAAGAGTTGCAACTCTAGAAAGCTCTTTTTTATTCTCTCTATAAAGTGGAATCTCTACCGTCTCCTATCAAAATATCTTTCTCTCCAGTTTTCTCTCAGCAAACCAGAAGAAAACGCTTTGTAAGTTATCTTTTTCTTAGTTTTGAACCAAACATGTTGTTTATTTTGTATACGATTATAGCAGCATAACAACATGCATGATCAGTTCTAGAGAATTAATAAGATCTACCATAGGTTGGTTAAGATTTCTGTCATGACAAATGGTTATCTCTCATATATATTCTCTTTTAATGTCTTCATTGAGAGTTAAATATTTTGTTGGTGTTATACATCATCTTTTTTTCTAACAAAATTTCCATTTATATGACATGCAGATCACGGTTTAAGTATGGCTGCGAACCAGTTTCATGGATCAATGTTGCAAGAGGCTTTACACGTCTGGAATGAATGATATGACTAATCATTACTGAAGGATTCTTAACATGTACAGGAGGTTCCATGAAGCCGTCCTTGCGAAGTATGATGCTGAGGTGGAGGTGTATCGCATTGCTGGTAAACTTGAACTCTTTGAAGACCTCTTCAACGATGGCGTTATGAACCATGTGAAGGAAAAGTTGGAAACGGAACTTGCTCTTGCATATGCCCGTCTTTCTGATGTGAAGGTTCCCAATTTCGATTGAGAAAAGCTAGGAGAGCCACAAATCTGGCGTTAAGTGATCTCTGTCCTCATCTCTTATGTTTGAAGGTGTTGCGGTTATGAAGCTTTTAACTATTGTCTGGTTTAGAAAACCTGTTTTTTTTTTTAATATTTTGATGTATTAAACTGAACCTAATGTTTTATGTTACTCGGCTATCAATGTTCATGTCTATTGTTATTATTTGATTGATGTGATTAGTTTTTTATATTTTAGGTGCGGTTTAGATAAATTTTTGATTTAGATAACCGAAAGATTTAAGGTGATTTAGAATAATATTTGAGTAGATATCAATATGAAAACATTATTTTATAATAACATTTTAACTACCAAATCATTCTACTTTATACAGAAAATCACATAATGAACACAATCATGCATTTAATCGAATCATATTAATTTTTATCTAATCCATTTTTTAAAATAAATGCAATTTTTCAAAGCAATTATATTGGGCTCCATAATTATTAATATATTTTGGGCTATTAGTCTTCTTACCTATATAAGACTCTTCGATTGTCTACAATAATCATAACTAGGATAAGATCTGCGCCTTGCGCAACGCGAATACATGTAGTTAAAATATTAAATTTTAGTATTGACAAATTTAAAATTTACATATGATTTTTTTATATGTATTTGAAATTTTAGAATTTTGGAATTTTTATATAATTATCTATACGTAGGATCAGAAACAATTGTAATTAGAACTGTAGATCAAAGCTTAGAATTTAATGGACCCGACTTCATATATCTTTTCATTTTTCAGTGTTCGAATGATGGAAAATAAATGGAGTGCCACTGGGCTTGATTGGTAGAGTATTAGCAAGTTCTCTAATGCTTTCTTAAGAAGCAGTTGGTAAAATATTTGCATTTAAAATATATAAGTTTCAAAACTAATTTAATATAATATATTTATTTGTCTAATAATATTAGAAAATTATATTTTTTTACAATTTTTAAAAATAATTTTATAAAAAATTAAGTTAAATTTTAAATTATTTTTAAAAATAATATTATAAGTTTTTCAAATAAAAATAAACAATTTAAAACTAATTATGGTCATGATTTAACAAAACAATAATGATTTAAAATATTTAAAAATTAATAAATTAAACATTAACTCAGTTTTATATCATGATTTAACAATTTAAAAACTAATTATGGTTATGAGAAGTTTACGTTCACATGTCAATCCTATTTATCTTCAATTTTTTCTCTTGTTGTGTTTTTTTTTTGGTTATTACTCGATATAAATATTTATATTGAAGTTTATTCTCATTTCGTTTGTTTGTTTTGACCTGGGATTTAGAAAATACTTAAGATTTAAAATAATTAAAGAGATACATACTTAGGTTAAGATCTGCACTTTATGCACAATAAATATTTTATATTTATTATTTATTTTATATTTTTCTGCATATTATAAAATAATAAAGTAATAAATATATATATTAAATAAATAAGCAATCAGTTACTATTATGTAATAAATTAGTATATGCATATAAATTTACCTATCACTCTTTTTTATGCGCAATTAGGGTAAATAAATCAAAATAATCAATCTTATATATTGTATATGATATATAATTAAATTTAAATGATATAAACATATTAATATAGCACACTTTCAATATGAATATTTATTAAATGAGGTTTCTACTCATATGATTTTATGATTATTTGCATATTTGAGTAACAAAACTTTACACTAGCAAATTCTTTTTAATGTGAGATGTTTAGTAGTTTAAATAATTTATAATCATTTTAAAAAATCAATGACATATTTAAAAATTAAAATATTAAATTTTCAATATATGTTCAATTCAAATATCAAAATATAAGTATGTATTTTCATACGATGTATAGTTAATTAAAACGATATGAAGTATATATAAATTAAAATTATTTATTTATATGGTCTTATAATCATTATATTTTAATATAGAAAAAATAAAAACCTTGATCCTAAAATTTTATGTGAGACTTTTAATAGTTGTAGTAATTTATACTCATTTTGCAAAATTCGAAATACAACATACACAAAAAAATCTAGATTTTTATTATATGATTAATGTAATTTTATAATTTATTTAAATAATAAAAAAATAAATAAAATGAGAAAAAGTATACAGATTGTTATCAAATCTTTATTGTTTAAAATCATTAATTGTCATATATATATATTTTAATCACATTAGGTAATTTCGTAGGTTTTATTTGAGGAAAGCATGCGAAACAATTAATATTTGATATATGCGACCAACTATAGCGCCCAAAATATTACATTGCTAGAGAGTATATTTTTTAGACTATACATTATATCACATGCTCTAGAATCCTTGGAATTTGAAATAGAAGCCAAAGAGCTATGCCACATAGGATTGGGGTTATTTTTAATTATTACAAACTTAAGGTTACAACTTTTTAAATGATTCTTAATTAGTATATAGGGGATATCTCTTCATCTTACTCTCTCTCATCGAAAAACGGTATTTTCTTTCTTTGTTCTTTATATCCTTTTGCATATAAGAGATTTTGTTATGTTGTTAGATATGTTCTATCTTAGTCTGTCTCGAATCATCTGCCTGGAGTAAACTGTCGCTAGGTTCTTTGCTCATTTTTTATTGAATATTGTCATTATAGGGTCAGAGTATCAGTTACGGTTTTAGGTTCTATTCTCTGAATATTTTATAAATGTGTTAAATTTAGAGGATATAAATATAGAAGATATTTTGGGGTTACAAATATTTTATGTTAATTTATGTTAGATCTTACATCTAACATAATAAATATTTACGGTTTATTATATTTCCATATTTGTCATATTTTGTTTCCTAAAATTAATATTTTCTTTCTTGAACATTGAGAAGTATCTCAATGGCAGGTAACAAGGATCTAAAAATGAAAGGTCACATGATCGAGGAATAAGGGGAAATGGTGAAGGAGGCTTACGAGAGGGGCAGGTTTGAGACCATGCAACGTTATAAGGCTATGCTGTTGATGTATCGTGACCCGAGTAAAGCTATTGAGGCAAGGCACCAGGAGGAACTCAATAAGGTTCGCATTGAGGCAAAACTTGAGTTCCTTTAAGAATGTGAACATCTTTTTTCCATGTACCATGAGATGTTTTATAAACCCTTATAATTTATTTATAAACACTTATAAAGGAATTTTAAATCTTATGAACAATTTATAAATCCTTATAAAATGAATTTATATATTCTCTTATAAGATTTTTATATGTATTTCATAAAACTTGTCTAACATTATATAAGATTTTATAAACCCTTACAACTGAATAAATGTTATTTTATAATTTACACATATAAAGATTATAAACTCTTACAACTGATTTTATAAACTCTTATTATGTAGAGATTGTTTATAAGTCTTTATAAATTGTTTATAAAATTATCTAGAACCTAATCCGACAACATTCACCCTTTAGTTGCAACAGAGACTACAAAAATGCAAATTATGTAGAGATACTGACTCAGCAAAAAAAAAAAAAAACAGAGGGCAGGTTGGATTATATCCTTTGAAGGAAATTCAATACGGCCATAGAGACGCCAGCAAGCTCCTGTGTGGAATAGAACTTCTCAAAGACCCAGATGTCACGTACCTGCATAAGCAACAAACTTGTAACTCACTTGCAGTTCTTAAAAAAACACAATGCTAGGAGAAAAACTATGCTCTGCCTTTCAATGTCGGAAGACAAGATTATACTTGAGTTGAAAAAGTGATTACTAGTGAAAGAAATGTAGACATTAGAAACAGCATTTCTCAAAACATAAAAGTAAAAAAGGTAAGTCTAATGCCAAACTTACCTTCGCCACCACGGGATTTTCTCATGAAGTGCATAAGATTCGTATACAAATCCATGGCTTACTGTCGACACGCTAACAGCACTCTTCACTCGTAAATAGTTGGTGTGAGACATCAAATCATAGGAAACAAGTGACATATGAGACAAAAATGCAAGAAAAAGCAACAAAACTGAGTTATTTAACACACCGTTTTCTACAGCTGAGGTGGAGCCTTCACTTGCATTGTAGCATAACTTGTATCACTGCTAGAGGGAACAGACTCTGCAATCTAAGACACAAGAAGAAACAAAAAAAAATGTCAATGATTGGTCAATTAGACTAAGAAAAAAACAAGAGCCAATGATGAATATGGTGATTACCATTGTAGATCGAAGCAAAATGTTTGCTGGCAGGGTTGTGGCTCACATATAAGCATGAAAACACGCTTCTTCTATGAGTGTCGGGAACTAAAAATGTCAATTACATTACTAAATAACTAAAACGCATCAAGTTAGAGTCAAACCAGTGGAGAAATGGGATTTGGATTCAGTACCGTGTGAAAGAGAAGAATGGAAGCTCCTCCAACGCCCCAATTTGAAGTCATCTCCAACTTGAGTCTAAGAGAACTCATTTCCACTCCGAAAGCTGGAGACAAATGATGGAAGCAAAGGAAACTAAAATTGAATCTTTTTTCGTTAAATTGAAATTTTAAAACTCTAAAAGATTGATCTCGTCTGCTTCGTGAGAGATGATACACTCGATCTCAACGCCGTGGTCGCTCGATCTTGTCAACGATGCCGTCATCGTCAACATCTATCTCGTCGCGTTTCCATTGACGAAGCTTTCTCTCGAGAGAGAAAGAAGAGTCAACTTCTCTCTACCCCTATTTGTTAGAGCTAAGCTCACTTGATCTCTTATACTCCTATTTCATAATTCTTTTTTTATCAAAATTTAAACCCCCAAATTAAATCCTCCCCGGTGTTCAAAACTAACCAAAAACCCCCTATGGATGAGTGAACCATGGGCAAATATTTAAATTCCATAGCTTTCAAATTCAAAAAAAAAAAAATTTTAAAATCGTTTTTAATCATATTTTGATGATTTTCGTGAAAATGTGAAAAAAAAACTTTTTTGGATTTTTGAAGTATTTTTATAAAATTCTATACATCAAATAA